AAAGACCAAAAAATTTTATCAAAAAAGCACTGGGAGACCTGAAACCCTCTCTTAATCTAAATATTATACAAGATAATAAGGGCAACTCCACTGATGACCCAGAAGAAATCAAAGCAATTATAGTAAACCACTTTAAAAAAATCCTCAAGAAAAATGACTTCAACTTAACAAGCCCTGAATGGACCAACAAGTATTTACCACTAAGTAATATACCAGAGAATATATACGACTCAACCTTAAATCAAATCACACTGGAAGAACTCATAAACACCACTTATGAATTACTTTTAAATAAAACCCTAGGAGACTTAGGCATCACATACGAGATGATCAACTCCTTTAGTGAAAGTTCAAAGAAAACACTTCTATGCTTATACAATGACATTCTAACCAATGAACAAATCTCAACAAACTGGAAAAAGTCCTCAATAGTCTTATTACCAAAAAAACTAGTTTGGTTCCACAGAATCATAGACACCTGACCAATCTTACTCATTGAGTCAACCAGAAAGATTTTTACAAAAATAATCAATGCCAGAGTTTCAATAATACTTACCAAGCACAAAATCCTCTCGAAGACAAGCTTTGCTAGCTTCACAGAACAGAGTACTATGGAACCCTTATTGATAGCCACGTCAATCATAAACATTGCAACTAATCTTAAACAAGAATTATAGATTGCCTCATTTGACATTGCTAAAGCTTTTGACTCAGTTAAGGATCTTAACGATTCTCTTCAATTCTGTATTCGATTCTCAAGTTTATATTAAATTTAATAGGTGGGGTATACCCCACCATCATTTTTAATAGTATTCTGAATCTCATGCGATTCTGTTCGATTCTATTCAATTCCAATTTTCGGAACTATAGACTCAGTAAACCTTGATAGCTTAAAAGCAGCCCTTTCAAGGGTCAAGATTCCAAACAAACTAATAAATATCTTTCTCAATTTATTTAATAACAGGAACCTTTCTATACTAATCAACTTCAGAAAAACAAGCAATTTTGAAGTCTCAAAAGGCTTGGACCAAGAGGAAACCTTGTCACCCTTACTTTAAACCATATACTATGATCCAATAGTAACAGCAGTCTTCAGCCAACAAAATCATGCACTAATCCCTTACAACATTCTCACATATATGGATGACGTACTTTTAATGGTCCACTCAATAAAAAAGCTTCAAAAAACTATAGACATCTTCTGCTCTTTCCTCACTCTCAATAGCATTAAATGCAACATTGAAAAAACAATACTAATTACAACACTGGGTAATAATAACAGTGACAGAAACTCAAGCCTAAAGGTTCTCGACACTTTGGTTCAATCACTACCACATAAAGTACCCTTATGCTACTTGGGAAATTACTTCTCGGGAGACAACTCTAGTAACTCATATAAGCAACCTGTCATTAAGAATTTGAACCAAACACTTTCAGCATTAGGAAAGCAATCCTGGAATGGTCCAATAGCAAAACAAGTAATCGACTGGATAGTTTCAAGCAAAATTGATTACTCATTACACTTAACAACATTGTCAAAAAACCAATTATATACAATTTAAACAAGAGCCAATAGCATAATTAAACAAAAATTCAGTATTGGAAGAACCACCTTTGACAGAATTATATACTCGCAAGCTGGCCTCAAATATATTAATCTTATAGACAAACAAGACCTTACTCTAATCAAACTCCTAGTTATGAAAGTATGCAACCCAAAGACAGTGGACACTCTCAGTATAGAAATTAAATCAACTCAAGCAAGCAATGTAATTTGGTTATACCCAATCTGCCACCCAGAAAAATTCCCAAGCAGTTGGATAATCCAAGCTGCCCTGGCATGTAAAAAGTATCAAATTAATATGCCCACCAAACTGTAGATTCAATGATCCAGATGGCAACCTCTCTCTAGGTCTCTTCTTCTCATTCAAAAATAAAGCATTCAAGCAGCAAGCCATAGGTCTGTACTGGAAAGGAGTCAAGTTCCTCAAATACCTTTGCATCTACAAGAACAATAAAAGACTCACCTGATATAAATTTAACACATACCTGGGTTCCACTCCAAAAGGCCCTGTATCATTATAGTTTACACAAATCAAAATTACATCTGATATTCAAGAAATCTCCACCAGCATCCCTAACCTCAAAGCCAGGTTCTGGGCCAGTATTGAAAATAACCAAGTAATATTCATATAGGCAAGAATTAACAGAAACACAAGCCAGCCACTCAAGGGTTCTCATTATATTATTGATTCAAGAAAAGTGCTTAAAAATGTCAATGCTATAGCACCAGTATACACACCATCACTATTGATCATAAAGCGATGTCCCTTTGAACCTATAAAAGAAACAATCAAGACTACTTAGCCAATGCTTCCGAAGAAATATTAGAACAGCTGCAAGAGCATTCTGAACCTAAGACTACTCCTATTGTCACGATCGATAACAATTTACTTACCAAGAATATTCTACAGCTAAACAAAAACATGATAGAAGATATCAAGTAATTAATAACAAACATTCGCTCTTTCCCCATATTAAACTTGATAACAAAAGATAATCTGGTCTTCATAGAAAATAAGGAAATCAATCTAATACTGCACTCAGATCATGACCAACCTATCAACGTATTGCTAACAATTAGGGCTCCGAAAAAGTATCGAACTGGTATCGAACTGGTATCGAAATGGTACTGATCTATAGTAAATTTAATATATGGATTGTGACCTACTCATATGTTTTTATAATAAATTTAAGTATTGAACTAATATCGAAATGATATCAAAGTGGTATCATTAGGAGCCCTACTAACAATTATAGATCTCTTGACAATCATTAAGAAGCAGACTTATATAACTATTAACATTTTATTCACTATATATCTGGACACTCCAAGCTATATTAACTGAAGAGTCAAAATTTCTTATAGTCATATAATTAGTTACATCAAAGAGTTATGCACTATAAAAGAGATTAAACTAACCTTATGCAAACAGACCTGCACCTTAGCATCTCAAGAAAGTGACAACATTATCTCAATTGATAACATTTTAGCAATCGATAATTATATAACAAGCCCAAGAATTAAAAATACATGGGCATAGGACCAACGCATTGGATCAAAAAAATTCAGCAAGCATATAGATTGATTGACCTCATCAACAGCTCAACTATCAAAGAAAGATGGAACCAAACATTTGACACAGAATCTCTTCAATTACTCCTTTCAGCCAACAAATCTCTTATAAAAAAGGACAAATTCAATTGCGTATCTTTGCTTGCTTTCAGATATAAAATATTTAGTAGTATACTCCCCACAAGACAAATCCTATACGAGAGATATCCAGAACTGTACAAAGACAACCTCTGCCCCAGATGCTTGGTCACACTCGGGACACAAAAACACGTGTTCGAATGCTACAAGAATATAGCAGCATATAGTGAAATAGAAAGCAAAATCATAGCCAAAATCAAAAAACTCGCACTTGCAAACAAAGCCAAAACAATAGCAGCAGTTTCAGTTCACCACCTATAAACTTTAACCATTAACAGAAAGTCAAACCTTGAAAGTTTAACATGTGAAATAACAACTCTCAAAATCCAGCTCTCAAAAAAAGCATGGGACAAACTAATAAACCCTACTTTTAAACTCCTATACTCATTAGTATGGTTATCCATATTCGCAATAGCTAATACCTCAATAGTATCAGGTATCAAGTGAAAAAAATCTACTTCAAAACCGATAGCTACCAAATCAAAAGAATTATCTGAAGCATAACTAGACTTATTGAACAAAATCATTGAATATTCTAACTCACAACAAGTCGATCAAACAAATATATTAAAGTTTCAAGATCTTACTCTAATTCTGGAAGGGCATTAACCATTCAGCATTAATGCTAATCCAATCTATATTAAGTGTAAGGAGGATTGCTTTAGTTAGCATTATAGATAGGTTAATATTAATTCATAAAAATATCACATGAAGATGTTTGATATAACTTATGTATCATATATATACAATTTAATAAAAACTTGCATCTAATGCCCTTTTATGATAAAAAAAAAAAATTAAGCAAATAATAAATACATTAAATAATAAATGAAATAAACCAGGCTAGAACTATATTTACATTGTTTAGCAAAATTGGATTACAAAAAACAGGAAAGATCAAGAGTATTATCAAAACCTTTAAAGCTTAACTACATATATATATATATCACACCATAATGTGTCACGTGACTTAGGTCGTGAACATAAGTTTACAGAAAACACGTGATGTTTCTGCCAATTCGTGCATTTTTCGGCTGGCTGGTCTGTATGGTGTATTTTCACACTCTGCAAACTTTATTGACAACTTATTTCCATTTCACATTCTTTAGGTTTTCCCCTTCGCCTTTTTTTCCTCTATCTTAGCCATTGTATTTTGTACTATACAGTTGTGGAAAGGTAAAGATATAACATCGCTAAATCAAATTTTACGCTTTATATAACCTTAATACTTTTAACACAGCAATTACGCCTTGTTCAATAAGCAATACTACTTCTTCATCCAACGAGTAAGTATAATGTTATCCGGGCTACTGTAGTTATTAAAAGCTGATCTTTCCATATTATTTTTAGAATGTCTGAAGACTTTGAAGATTTCGTATCTACTCACGAGGCGCTTAAAACTATTTTCCCGCAAGCCTCCAACGAAGAAATTACAAAATACGAGAAGCAACTTAGTAGCGTGAAAAATCTCGACCCAGTCCTTATTATTTCTCCAAATAAAGCTTGGATCAATCAGCAGGGTTGGCCGGCTTATTATACAGTCATGGATGCTTTTGCAACAAATGGTCTTCAAAATAGGCGCCGAGATGAGAATTCTCGTGTGTCTTTCACTTCGCAACCGTCACCGAACTCTATACTGTACGCGACAATATTTATAATCTCTTTCTTAATGCCTTTTATGATTCTCCTTCCCGCCAAGCTCAACTTCCTGATGCACGACTACAACCGATTGGAATAGCGTGGATATTAACAAAAGTGGGAGTACGTAATAGTGATTTCGGGCAAGATGGTAGGTTTTTTCTTACCATGTGAGGAGAACTCAACAAGGATAAGCGAAATCCCGATCATCTTTTATTAGTTGATCCAATTAACCATTATGTAAATCTTTGCATGTTTACGAGTATACAATCGCGTTATTTCTTCACGTATAATTTTCTGATATTAATAAAGCTGACATTTACAATATATATTGCAATTCATGTAAATTAATTTGATTTTTCACATGTATTAGTATAATATCACTTTTTGCTTAAACTTTATAATAAAAAAATAATAAATTTTCTTGATTAGTAAATCGCAAATGCATTTAAAGTTTCGAGTTTACTCAATAAGACCTAATTCTCGAAGATGCTCTGGAATAACTACATTTGGGTCTTCGTAATACCAAACATAACTTAAAACAATCCAATTCTCATCGCAAAGTTCTTTCTTAAGGTGATCACGAATCAATTGTTTCTCAAAGTCTTCCTCATTTTTATGGAAGCGTTTTCTATACTGTCTGTATTGTATACCTTGTACCTCTATGGCTAATCCATATTGTGGATAGTAGATATCAAGCTCTAATCCTCGAGGATACTCCAGTGTTTTCATAGCTAATGCTCCAGATATTAGTTCCAATGAAGCTGAAACTCTTAAGCTTAATTCAATACGCTCTTTTGCTAATAACATGACTTAACAACGTCGTTATTTATGAAGAATATATGATTCAGGTGATATTGATGGCAAGGGTGATATTCGAAACTGGGGTATGAATAATGATGATTGGATTAAGCTTTGTGATATAGATTTCGTGAAAAGATATAATAAGCCTGAACCTTTACAACATTTTAGGAGGCTTGCATATTTCATAAGGCAAGATTCTAATGCAATAAATTCTATAGAAAATCTAAAAATCAAAGAAGAAATGCAATGGGAAGATTCACATGAATCTATGGATCCATTCTCAGTTGATTTGCATAAATTTATTCAGCTAAGCAGTAGGAAGCAGTACATAATCTTGTTCAATTGATAGGCTGCAGTGATATAGCTAACATGAATATTCTTTCTGATGATGATGTGGCTAAGACTTTTGAGCAATCATGGGAAAAATTGTTAAAATTTGAGAAGATGCATTGTTACTCTTCAGTTTTAAGACCAGAACACCAGATCTCAATGCTACAATAAAATTTATTAATGTAATAATAAGTAATTGGTGTAGTTATACTATCAGAAATGGGCAAAAGCTTTCAGAATCAAAAGGTCAATAAGTATGAAATTGCACTTATTGGATTTATTACATTCTACCCAATGGTGCTGGATTTGAAACTATAAAAAGAATAAAGGCTATAAATTGAATGATCCTAATTATCTCCCTAAAGTTCCAATTCTTCCATTATATAAACTTGAATCAGTCAATAAAACTCAAGAACTTTTTGATTCTATATCCATTACTATTGATATTACTATTTCAGAAGTTAATAATAAGATTTGTGAATAAAGTTCTTGTAATAATATAGTTGAGAGATCTGAGGCAATTTATTGCAATTGCCCTCTTTGATATCAACTCAAAATCTATTGAATATTTCTAAACAATTTTCAAATATTATTGAAACTAAAAAAGAGATATCCGAATCCTTAATTTCTTTATCTTCAGAGTTTCTCATTAAACCCAAATCTGATATAGATGTTCTTATTTATAAGAGTTTAACTGTTTCCATTAGTTAAAACAATGAATCAAGTTTTTAACACAAGTAAAATATTAAGATAAAAGTTATAGGCAAAATGATTAAGGAGAAAACTCAACTGAAAGCTTTATTAAGATAAAATCCAAGTTCTTAAATACATGTTTTCTTCAATATAAATAAATAAAATAATAATAATAATATATAATATAATATTATATAAATATAATTTGCATAATGTTCTGAAACACTTTATAGGAACATATTTATATATAAAATATAAATAATAAAAAAGAATAATAAATATAAAACACATCAATAGTAAATAATAATAATTAATAAATGTGTAACATATTATGTATCAATTCTGTTACCCAAATATAGCAAAGAAAAAATTATTTAATATATAATACACCTTAGAATTTTAAATTAATAGCACATGTTTCAGGGTTATATAATTGTTATAGGGGTTCAGGATAAGTAATTTTTGTTACACTCTTTTTTCTTAAGAATAAGATGTTCTTATCAATTCAAATTTCATAACTTTTTTATTGGCGTTTGTAAGATTTTTCAGAGGTTCCCATGATGTGTCACATAATGGATATCTTAACCATTTTATCAAGTATTGAATCTTTTTTCAGATGATTCTTTTATCCAAGATAGTTTCAATTTTATACTACTCAAAGTTTGTATCAGGAATAAAGATATTGATTATTCAAAGTCATGTGATGTTTTTTTATATGGTTTTAACAAAGATATATGAAAGTTTGAAAGGATTTTTTAAGTGTTGGGCAGATTAAGTTTGTAAACAACAAGTAATACAATAGCAGAGATAATGTATGGTCCAATAAATTTTGATAATAGTTTTCTTGCAAGTCAATTTTTATTCATAGGATTGATGTTTATGATAAAGAATAAAACCTTGTTCCCAATTTTGAACTCCAAATATTGGCAATGTTGATTGGCATATTTCAGTTGCTAGTTCTAGGCTTCTATAAATGCATCCTTGGCAATTTTGATCATATTGTCCTAATGGTTTACAAATTCAATAACAGCAAGTATAATATTATTAACTTCTTATGCAATAGTTACTGGTATATTAGAATATTGTCCACAATTCAACTCAAATGATATAAATTCAGTAGAAGCTTGTTTGAAATTGTTATAGGCAAATTTGATGGCAGGCAGATATTCATTTCAGTTGCTTTAGTTGTATGCAACATAATACTTTAACATTTTCTTCAAAGTCTTATTCAGATACTTAGTTTATCTATTAGTTTGTAAATGAAAGGCAATTGGCATGGCAAGTATTGTTTCCAATTGTTGAAAGAAACATCTCCAAAAGTGACTGGTAAATTTTGTATCCCTATTAGATACAATAGTTTTGAACAATCCATGGTGGTAAAAGATAGTGTTGAAAAATATTTTTGTAACCTCAGGATGGTGACAGTTATATGCAAGGGTTGAAAGTAAACTCATTTAGTAAAATAGTCTATAAAGATCACAATTGCATTGTAGTCTTATTATATTGTTAATAGTTGTATAATAAAATTAAGAAAGATATACTTCTAACACTTTGTTGATATGTTCAATGGTTGCAAAAGTCTAGTGAATTGTTGATTTAATGGTTTGTTTTTTTAATAGATATTATAACTGTTTATATGTCTTTTTATTACTTTGATTATTTCAGACCAATAAAAGTGATGTGAGAGATTTTCATATGTTTTGTCAATTTTCAAGTAACCAGAAATATTGTTGTTATAATGTTTATATAGCAGTTTTGCTTTCAATCTTTTGTCATTTAATATTATGAGTCAATCATCCTTTTTCAAGTAAATTTTGTTGTTTACAAGTTTAAAGTTTTATGTACAAGTCAATTTCTTTTCAGTTGCTTCGATAGAATGTTGCAAGGTTTTCCAGATGTCATGAAGATATATGTTTTCCAAGATTTTTCCTTTCAATTTTTCTCAAGTTATATGGTAATAACAAAGATAACAGTAGGTGTGATTGTTATAAGAGTACATCAACTACTATATTAGTTTTTTCAGCCCTGTATTTAATCTCAAAATCATTAACTTGCAAGGTTTTCAACTAGCAGGCTTGTTAGTGAGATAAGTTTTATTGAGTTTTGATAAATTTCAAAAAAAAACATGGTCAATAATAACAATAAACCTTTGACCTTCAAGTATGGTCTACAAAGTTTGATGGTATAAACAATAGCAAAAAGTTTTTTTTATATATTGTTGTTTTCAATGGCGAGTCTGTCGCTAATCCAGACCAAGACTCATACTACGTTGGGAGAGTGGGTCTATGTCGCTGGCGATACCAAAGGTACGTATGGTGATAATTATCCTTATCTTCCTTTTCTCTAGGTGGGTTCCTCTTCTAATCTTTCGCTGCCAAACTGTAGGGCTTGTAGATTCTTTCTAAGACGACTTAGAGACAAATAAGATAAGTTTATTAATTATCGTTGCACTAGCATACAATTGGATTTATAGCAGATAGTATTTTTCTAATTAGTTATTTGATCACATTCTCTTTTACATTATAATTGAATATCGTTACTATTTATATATGATTGCGACGCGTCTCTAAATTTATTGTTGCATTATACAGAATTATTAAACTTTTACAAGCTTTGCGCCCATCGGTCATGCATGATTGATGCATAATCAATGCTCCATGCGGCACTGCGCCGGGCCCCACATGTCACATCATATCCCCTACTATAATTTCTATGCTAACAATATATAGGATAGTTAAGTTCAGCCAGTATAATTTTTCTTGATTCAAATATAACAGATTATTTCCTATTTCCTTGATCCTATAATAGTACAGTACCAATAGCAAAATCAAAAGTATCGATGGTAACAGTAAAGGGTTTGATTGGATCAGATAGAAGCAAGACAAGTGCATAAGTAAGACAAGTTTTCAATTTCTGAAAGGACTTTTTCTTAGTTATTCCCTAAGAATATTTCTTATTTTTATAAAGAAGAGTAGTAAGTGAAGATGCAATAGTAAAAAATTCTTTAACAAATTTTCTATAATAATTGACAAAAACTAGAAAAGATCTCAGTTTAGATATATTAATAGATATAGGCCAATTTTGAATGACATCAATTTTCCTAAAATTTATAATGACTCCTTGGGCAGAAATAAAATATTTTATGTATTCCATACACTCCTTAATAAATTCACATTTTGAAATTTTGGCATAGAGCTGATGCTTTTACAAAGTTTGTAAGATAGTTCAGATATGTTATAAGTGTTTCTTTTTTGTTTTGCTATATATAAGTAT